AAGAAGAAGAAGAAGAAGAAGAAGGAGAAGAAGAAGAAGAAGGGGCAGCAGCAGCAGCAGCAGCAGCCCGTGCTGGATGCGCTGCGTTCGACCGTGGACGACGTCGTTGCGGTCATCTCCGAGTCGCGCACCGTTGGCGGCCTCTTCGCCACCTTCCACGCCATCCGCATGGTGGAGGAGTTCGATCGGCGGAAGCAGGCTGGCCGGGCGGACGCGGATGCGGCCCTGCAGCCATTTGACAAGACTTTTTTCAGCAGGTGGGCCTCCTGTGTGTTGGGGGTGGGATGTGGGTGGGCTTATCTTGTAGGCAGACAGATGCCTGGTTTCCTTGCTTGATAGGGTCCCATGTCTGCATGTGGCGTGTGCTGGTTGGATCAGGAACGCTTGCAGCTGTCTGTAACACATTGCCGCGGATGGAGTGCAGCGGCATGCGCCGCAGAGCAGGTGCCGAATAACCAGCCACCCTTTCGACCCACCCACCCATTACAACCACGGCGCAGATGCCTGACGCTCATTTGGCGACCTCGCGAGGCAGCCGGCGGAAATGCAGGCACTGGGGCGAAGGCGGCGTTCGCGCCACTGGCCGAGTCCGTCGCCCTCTTCCGGGAGACGCTCGAGCGGGCTGGCGTCACCCTTCAGCCGCCCGACCTGGAGTACATCCGCCCGCTCATTGAAGAAGCGGCGGGGGACCTAGCGACAGCCACCTCTATGTACTACAAGAGGGAGCTCCTCCGCCATCTCCAGCAGAACGCCAAGCTGGAGCTAGGGGTGAAGGGAAATTGGCCACGCCACTGCGCCCGCGCAGTGCTGTCCGTCAGCTTCGCAAACCCTCTGGCGCCAACAGAGGACCCAGTCGCCGCGCCCGCCCTGCCACCCGCAGCCCCAGCGGTTGGCGCCGATGCAGCTGCGGTGCCCGTCCCAGACGCCGGGCCCGACCAGACGCCCTCGGCCCTGGACCCTGGCGTCTCCACAGCTGCAGCGCCAGCCCCGGCCGCCGCGCCCGACCAGACGCCCCCAGCCCCAGCCACCGGCAGCGATGCAGCACTGCCACCAGCCCCGGCCGCCGCGCCCGACCAGCCGCCCCCAGCCCCAGCCACCGGCAGCGATGCAGCACCGCCACCCCCCCCGGGCGGGGCAGCTGCGTGGTGGCATGTGCCATTCACGCAGGAGCAGGTGGACTGGATTGTCGAACTCCGCCGGCGCATGCCGAAGAGGCCGACGCAGGGCCTGTGGGAACATCATCCGCACCTCTGCCTGCCGCTGGCCAGGCGACTCCTCGCGGAGCGCGAGAGGCGACAGCCGGCCGCGCCAGCCCCCGCGCAGACTCCGGAGAACGCGCCACCAGAGCAGGCGGGCGAGGAGGCGATGCAACACGACGCAAACCGCCCAGATGTGAGTGGTGAGGGCTGGGAATGCGTCAGTATGTGGAGATCGGCAGTGGTTTGACAATGCTACTTTCTCGCACCCTTGAGGGGGCGGCCAGGGGTATGACAAATGGGCAGCACAGCTACACATGTATTCACGAGCCCCACATCCCACCTACATGCACAGATCGGTGACACTGCATCGTCAGCCGCGGCGGCCGCGGCAGCCGCCGCAGCAGCCGCCGCCGCAGCAGCCGCAGCAGCCGCCGCAGCAGCAGCCGCCGCAGCAGCCGCAGCAGCCGCCGCAGCAGCAGCCGCCGCCACAGAGCTCAAGCGCCTGGTTGAGGGCCGTGCGAAGCAGCACGCGGCCAACGAGGACGCCGGCATTCCCAGCAAGCGGCGGGGCCTGGGCAAGCAACGGCGCGCGGCGCTGGCCAAGCGCAAAGAGGCCGCGGCGAACGCCGCCGGCGGCCCCGCCAAGGGGCCTCAGCAGCCCGTGCAGGAGCGGCACATCGGGCGGCTGTTCAGCCTCCTGCCCTGCAGGCAGGGCTTCGAGGCGGTGCATATTACTGGCACCCTGACGACGCTGTGGGCCCTCTTGCGGCGGCAGGATAAATACCATCCGGGCGGCGTGGAGAAGCTGACGGGGCTGCAGCTTCCCAAGAGTGAAGATTGGAGAATGTATACCGTGCCCGAGGTGAGGATCAGCACCGCATGTTGCGGAGGGAGGGGTGTGGGTGGTGCAGAGGTGTCTTGTAGATCTACACCGTGATCACAGGCCACTCCTTTTCTTTTGTAGTCGTGTTGGGTGAGGGGTGGGGGGTGGAGCAATAAACTGTAGGATCGTCCCGCGATGCTCCGTGGATCCAGGGTCTGGGGGTCGTGTGGTGCAGCAGAGGTGTGAGGCCCAGACTCCTCGTCGCTCACACCCGCCCAACCGACATCTTGCCAACCCCAGGCACTGAAACTCCTCAATCTCGAGGAGGTTCATGGCATCCCCGCCAGGAAGAAACAGGCCATCGAGGCCTGCCTCCGTAGAAAGGCGGAGGAGTACCAGGTGGACGCAGAGGGGAAGCGGGGGACGAAGAAGACGGGCGAGATGGAGGAGGAGAAGAAGACGGACTGGTTCGTGCATGTTGGTTGGGCCTTCTTCGCCCTCCTCTTCAACTTTGGCCGCTTTGAGGGCTGCGGCTGGTACTCGACGGGGCACTGGCGGACGAATGGCTACAGCGTCACGGTGACCCTGCGGCGGGCGAGAGGACCCCCCAGGCCCGGCCGACCCCCCGCCCCGCCCCCCCGACCCCCCCGAAGACCAGCGGCAAGCGCACCCGCGGCGGGGCGCCCCTGGGCGCCCCGCAGGGCAGGGGAATC